GCCCGGCGGAGCGCGCGCCCCCGGGCCTGCCCAGCGCCCGTCCTCCGCGGGGACCCTCCGCCCCGGGCCCGGCCCTGCGCGCAGGGGCCCTCGGGTGGGAGCCCCGCCGGGCGCGTTCGAGCGGAGCCGCGAGAGGGCGGCACGAGGGTCTTTTGTTCCTCGTCCACACCTCCATCGTCGGCGGATGTCATGGTGCCGAGTTCCCGAGCCTGGGGAGACCCGAGAGCCGCACCTCGCCCTGGCGGCGCTCGGCGGGGCTGCCGCGGCTGCTGCTGGGTTGTATGGAACTAGTTGGTGATGGACCAAGTCGCTCTATCATGTGTGAAAATACATGACTTTTGACCGGGCATGGGGGCGCAAGCCTTTAATCCCAGCCCTGGCAGGCAGACGCAGGCAGATCTCTGAGTTGCAGGCCAGCCTGGTTTATGGAGTGAGTTCCTGGATAGCCAAAACTACACAGAGAAACCCTGTCTGGGAAAACTAAAAGGAAATATATGTCTTTTTCTTTTGAGACAATGTTTCACACTTTAGTGCAGTATGTCCTGGAACTAGTGATCTTTCTCCGGTCTCTGCCTCTGGAGTTTTTGGGATGGTAAGCATTTTAGCACTGCTTTATTGGTTTAGGTAGAAATATGATTTCACAACCAACAAAATCCCATACTGTGTGGCACATGCATTAAGTACCGGCATTAACAGATGGAGGTAACAGTATCAGTTCAAGACCAGCCCAGGATACAGGACACTGTCCCAAAACAAACAAAAAGACAGCTGGTTGGAAGTCTATAGAGCCAGCTCAGAGATTAAGAATGCTTCCCACTCTTAGAGACTGCCAGGATTTGTGCCTGTCAGTGGCAGTTTTCAGCCACCAACAGCTTCAGTTCCAGGAGATCCGGTACCCGCATCTGGCTTACCTACACACATGGTCGTGTGCATACATACAAATGCACAACAACCCAGAAGTTTTTCAACATCTCGTTTTGTTTTTTGAGACAGGTTTTCTCTGTGTAATCTTGGTTGCCGTGTACTCACTTTGTAGACGAGGCTGGCCTTGAACTCGCAAAGATCTGCCTGCCTCAGCCTTCCAGAGTGCTGGCGCGCACCGCTTCGCCCAGCTTCTCAAATTTCAACATGTAAAACACACCCACCCCCTTTTTTTCTTCGCTGAAGTGTAAAAGCACACTTACTTAAAGACAAGCACATAAAACTCTAAGTCATGTTTCTTGTCCATGGATTGGTGGAAGAGCTGAGGAAGCCTGCATAGTACGAAATGCTTACTTCATGGACGTTACCAACATCATCGCCAGCACTTCATTTCACTCCTCAATGACCGAAAACAAATGTGTTAATAACATTTCAGTGACTCCTAAAGACGATCACCATCCCTTTTTCTCTTAGGCGTTTGGAAATCCAAAGCTGTAGGTACATTGAGTTGATACACAAAACCTCGCTGGACTTGGAGAGACGACATCCATATATTAGGTTTGTAGCCTCTGAAGCCCCCTTTCTGCAATGGGCTGGTGTTAGCACCTGCTCAAATTTAAACTCCTATGTTTTCCTCAGTAATGACAAGAAAGACAGCTGCTCCTTTAGTATGCTGCTGTGTGAAGGAGGACATCAGTCAGTTTGCTCATGCAGGGGGACCAGAGTGCCACACAGTAAATTAGAACTTCGGGAGTTTATTTGGCTGATGGTTTTAGAAGCTGGAAATCGATCAGGGAGCCACATCTGATAAGGGCCTCTTGAAGAGTAGCACTAGGTAAAGGGGCGGGGGCGGGCACGGAGCACTCTAGAAAGACTTTTATAGTGAAGCCACTCCTGCAACAGATATTTGATGCCCAGGATTTCACCCTAAGTACACCTAAAGCTCATGAGCCGGTCATCTCTCAATGTCCCAAGGCCCTTTGCAATCTCAGCAGCAGCTAAATTTTAGTATGGATTTTAGAGGCAGGGGCTGGAGAGATGCCTCAGAGGTCAAGAGCACTGGCTGCCCTTCCAAAAGTCCCAGCAACCACATGTTGACTCATAAACATCTATAATGAGATCTGGTGCCCTCTTCTGGACTGCAGGCCCACAAGCAGGCAGAATACTGTATGAATAATGAATAAATTTAAATTTTATTTATTTTCGATTATTATAATTTATTTACTTTTTATCCCAGCTGTAGATCTCTCTCTCATCCCCTCCCAGTCCTACTCTTTCTCCCTCTTCTCCTCCCATGCCCCTCCCCTGATAGGGGAGGTCCTTCTCTCCTAACATCTGACCCTTGCCTATCAGGTCTCATCAGGACTGGCTGCATTGTCTTCCTCTGTGATCTGGTATAGCTGCACTCCCCCAGAGGGAGGTGATCAAAGAGTCAGACACTGAGTTCATGTGAGAGAAAGCCCCTGCTCCCCTTACTAAGGAACCCATTTGGACACTGAGCTGCCATGGGCTACGTCTGAGAAGGGGTTCTAGGTTATCTCCATGCATGGTCCTTGCGCGTTGCAAAGACCCCTCGGCCCAGATTTTTTGGTTCTGTTGCTCTCCTTGTGGAGACCAGATCGTTCTATCTCCCCCTTCTTTCATAAGATTCCCTGCACTCTGCCCAAAGTTTGGCTATGAGTCTCAGCATCTGCTTTGATACCCTGCTGGGTAGAGTCTTTCAGAGGCCCTCTGTGGTAGAATCCTGTCCTGTTTTCTGTTTTCTCCCGCTTCTGATATCCATCCCATTTGTCTTTCTGAGTGAGGATAGATCATCTTAACCAGGGTCCTCCTTCTTGCTTAGCTTCTTTAGGAGTACAGATTTTAGTATGTTTATCTTATATGATTAATATGCACTTATAAGTAAGCATATATCATGTGCGTCTTTCTGCTTTGGGTCACCTCATTATGGGTAATCTTTTCTAGTTCCCACCATTTGCCTGCAAATTTCATGATTTCCTTGTTAATTGCAGAGTAGTATTCCATTGTGTAAATGTACCATAATTTCTGTATCCATTCCTCCATTGAGGGACATCTGGGTTGTTTCCATATTCTGGCTATTATGAATAAAGCTGCTAAGAACATGGTTGAGCAAATGTCCTTGTTGTATACTTGAACATATTTTGGATATATGCCTAGGAGTGGTATAGCTGGATCTTGAGGTAGCACTATTCCTAACTGTCTGAGAAAGCACCAGATTGATTTCCAAAGTGGTTGTACAAGTTTAGCTTCCAGCAATGGAGGAGGGTTCCCCCTTTTCCATATCCTTTCCTGCATGTGTTGTCACTTGAGATTTTTATCTTAGCCATTCTGATGGGTGTAAAGTGAAATCTCAGGGTTGTTTTGATTTGCATTTTCCTGATGAGGAAGGACGTTGAACATTTAAGTGTTTTTCTGCCATTCCATATTATTCCTCTATTGAGAATTCCCTGTTTAGCTCTGTACCCCATTTTTTAATTGGGTTATTTGATTTGTGGCTGTTTAACTTTTGAGTTCTTTATATATTCTGGATATTAGTCCTCTGTCAGATATAGGGTTGGTGAAGATCATTTCCCAGTCTGTAGGCTGTCGTTTTGTTCTGATGACAGTGTCCTTTGTTTTACAGAAGCTTTTCAGTTTCATGAGGTCCCATTTATTGATTGTTGATCAATGAATAAATCTTTTAAAAACTATGGATTTTGGAGGGAACATTCAAAGTATCAGAGTTTTGAAAATTTGGAGCAAAGTTTATCAGTGATAATTGGTATGTTCATGAATTTAATTTCAGGATTTTTTGAGCCTAGAATGATGGCACACATTTTTTTTTTTTTTAACTTTATTTCCAGCACTCAGTAGGCAGAGGCAGGCATATTTCTGTGAGACTGGGAGTGACCTTGTCTACATGGTGAGTTCCAGGCCCACCAGAGCTACATGAGGAGACA